GTACCACTCAAAACCGCACTGGTGCGGCCATACTTTGTGTACTGTGTCCAGTTCTGGTCACCACAATGCAAAAAAAAAAAAACAAAAAAAAACACTGATGCCCTGGAAGGGGTGCAGAGAAGAGCAACAAATATGATAAGGGGACTGGAAGCTAAATTCTATGAAGAATGACTAAAAGAACTAGGTATGCTTAGCTTAACGAAGAGAAGAATGAGGGGAGTCATGATAGCAGTCTTCCAATATCTGAAAGGTTCCCACAGGGAAGAGGGCATCAATTTATTCTCCACTGCACCTGAGGGTAGGATAAGAACCAATGGGTGGAAACTTGTCAGAGGGAGATTCAACCTGCAAATAAGGAGGAATTTCCTGATGGTGAGAACCATTAAGCAGTGGAACAGCTTGCCTCCTGATGTTGTAGGTGCCCTTTTGCTGGAGGTTTTCAAGAAAAGATTGGACAAACATCTGTCTGGGATAGTATGAGGTCCAGGATTGTATTAGGTTGCACTAGAAGACCTCCAAGGTCCTTTCCAACCCTACGACAATTCTATGAAATATTTTCAGACTGTGGATCAGTGAATCAGCAGATACCGATCCTGTGGATAAAGGGGTCCTACTGTACAGATGAATGTGGCTTCTCTCTAGCACTGTGTAAGTATCATGCCTGAAATTGTGAGGAGTCTATCTGTGGTAGGGGACAGGGGCATGCTCTGCCCCTATGTTCTGAACCAGAATTTTAAAAAGCCATTGGTCTAGACAACAAAATCTGTATTTTAAGGCAATATATTGGATGTTTCCTGCCAACCTAACAGTTTGAAAGCATGGAAATGCGAGTAGATAAATAGGTACCACCACAGTTGGAAGGTAACAGCGTTCCGTGTCTAGTCGTGCTGGCCATGTGACCATGGAAACTGTCTTCGGATAAATGCTGGCTCTACGGCTTGGAAATGGGGATAAGCACCACGCCCTAGAGTTGGACACGACTGGACTAAATGTCAAGGGGAATATTTACCTTTACCTTATATTGGATGATATATTTCAGCTGTGTGCAAATGTACATAAAACAACACACATATGGGTGAGTGCTGAATAAATTTGGACGACAGGAGGGGACATGCATTCAAACTATATGTGTGGAATGTTGCTTTTACAGAAGAAGTAGAACTGTTAATTTCTCTCCTCTCTGTAGTTCTAGCAATTTTCACATCCACTGCATAAAACCTAGACTGTTTCTTATTAGCACTGTATTTTCCTTGGGCAATTTCATCAAAGAAACTGGTAATTTTTTAAAAAAAAGAAAGAAAAAGAAAATGAAAGAAAAAATCAGTCTTGCTCTGAAGAACAAGAAAAAGACCCAAGGAATCATAAGATATTACTCTTGGCCTTGAGCTACCAAACATGTATACCATCAAAGGCTTTCCTGAATTTCACGGTCGAAGTGTTAAACTACCTTTTGGGCTGTTACTTTAAAAGCTGAAAGTTTCAATGCTAAAAATAGAATTTTGTTTCTCAAGAGTTCCCACATCTATTATTTCATGAAACTGATCCCCATTTCTGATCTGTTCCTGCTTTCCCTTCCATTATTCTTTCTTGTTGATATAATTTTGACTTTTGCTTAAAACAGGCTCATTCTTTCAGTTCTATCAAGAAACCTTCCTGAAAATCTGTTAGCTATGCTCAAAAACAGATGCAGTGATAACAGAGGGGTCTTAAATGGTAATGGAGGAAACGCTGAAGAATCAAGAGTCCCCTTCCCTAATGCTGCCCTAATCAACAGAGGCAGGAATCTACTAAATAGATAATGCAGGACATATTCAACATACTGTATCGTTGCACTTTACATATATAAAGCATATGGGAGCCATGAGGATTCCCTGTGATTCACAAAGATACATGGAAGCATGAGTTCCAATGGAATGCATTCTCCCACACACTTTTGTGACTGTGATATCATTGAGTGTCCATGTGTGCATTTCAAATGCATGCCTATGTACAGTCCAGGTCAGCATCTTCTAGATCTGAGAGTTTTGGTGGTAGCTCCACTCCTAGTTAACAGTGCATGTTCAAGCATACTATTCCCCAATTCAAAAACACCAGCCAACACACCAGAATTTTCTTTCCTAATGCATGTACTGGAGGAAGGAGGACGTGCAATTTGTGTGAATGCACACATGAACATTCAAAGGACAAAAGGTGGAAATAAGCAAAATAGCCAAGCGTAAACTCCAGAGTTGAGGGTTTAAAGTTGCCTAGTCGCACTACTGGGAAAGCAGAAAGCTTGAAAGTCAGCTTCATAACCTGTAGCACCGTCAGTCATTTAATGCAGCAGTCTGCAACCTTTTGGGGACCGCGGACTGGCTGAGCCTCTGAGGAAGGTGGGGCACCTCCCCCACACTCATGTGGACTCTCGGGCGCATGTGCGCTTGCTCTTGAGCGCATTCGTGAAGTTGTGGAGGAGTGCAAGTGTGCACTCACCCACCAGTGCTGGCGTGAGCGATCTCCAATCCCTTCGTGCATGCGCAGGACCACCTTATGCCCTCCCACACCTTCGCCCGGGTGCATCAGTGAAGGGGTGAGGGAGCACTCACACCAGTGCTGGCATATGTGTGTGCACACAAAACAGCTGAGGGGAGGGGAGTGCTTGCGGGGGGGAGGTCTGGCTCCACGGCCTGGTCCGGCTCACGCCACAGACCAGCACTGGCCGCGGACCGGGGGTTGATGACCTCTGATTTACTGTATCTGATAGCAAAACATCCCACGATTAAATATTGTAAAATGGAACCACCTTTTAAAGGCAGTATGAGCATTGATCAATTTGGCAAGGGCAATCATTTAAATGAAGGAGCACACAACAAGTACCAGATATCATTATCTTGTTTTTCCTACAATTGTAATATAACAGCATTGTAGGTCTCTGCTCATGCATCACTTATAACTGTACTCAAAGAATGTTTCCAACCACACAATTCATTATTTCAAACAAAACAGTTACATTATATTCAATAAATTCATCTCTAGAAATACATATTCATTTTTTTAAAAGCATATTAAGTGTATAATGAAACAAGTTAAAATGTTCTTTCTTTTCCAGGGGAAATATGTTTCAAAAATCTTCTATCTCTGAATGGAAGTGCAAGGAGTGGGGAGAAGCTAGGTTGTGGGGGAATGACAAACACCATTGTGTGAACCTAACATCTTATTTATTGGGAGCAGTTTGTTTCATCTTTGCAGCCTTCACTTGGCACTAAATCAGATGTATGTCTGTGACATGTCTGTTACTGTATAGCTACAGACACATGTACCAACAGAAATGTACATGAATATGCACCTAGAGAATAGAATCATCCTACATTATAGTGCCACACCATGTAGTTCCCCTGGTCCTATGGGTCTTTAATCTGAAGTTTAGTCCCATGATGTTCACTGGGACTCACTCTTCAAGGAAGCTACTGCAGCCTTACTATGGCAAGGAGGAAATTCTGTTGGCGGTTTTATATAATAACTTTGGCATTTAGAACTAGCAACAGAATCGCAGTGATATATCAATATGATTTCATCAATGTGCCTTTAAAATAACTTTATGTACTGTTTTAATATTTTTCAATATGTTTTCCTGCTTAAAGCCAGAATGAGTTTTTTTATGTTTGCATTTACATGACTAGCTGTTTAATCCTTTACCTGTTTCATATTAAACTGGATCCAATTTGTTTTTTACAGGATGACACTCCAAAATTTGCATTTCTGTTAGTAATCCTTCATGCCATACACCAAAGTATTTTTAAACCTCAGAAGACTTTCAAAAGCCTTAAAATATAATAAAGAATTGCTGGTTAAACTGGACAAGAATAGAGAGGTTACTTACCTGTAACTCTGGTTCTTCAAGTGGTACTCTGTGAATTCACACTAACGGGTTAAACTGCGCCTGCGTAAGATACTTCAGAATATTCTAGAGCTTATTATATGAACTAATGAAACCTGTTCATATACTGCGCATGGTCCGCCTGCTCTGAGGTATCTCAGTTCCAACTGTCCAGCTTTGTCCGAGATATATGGCTAGCAACCAGAACAAGGCATGACGGACAGAGGGGAGGTTGGGCGGGACATGTGAATTCACAGAATACCACTCGAAGAACCAGAGTTACAGGTAAGTAACCTCTCATTTTTCTTCATGGACTCTGTGAATCCACACTAATGGGTGACTAGCAAGCTCACTTACTGGAAGGAGGGCCATCACGGAAGAACAGATATCAACACAACCCTTCCAAAGTTTGACGATGATTCAATGGGTTTTTTCACTTTACGTTGAATCGGTCCCTGCTTTGGGAACCGATTTTTCGCTTCACAACGATCAAAAACAGCTGATTGTCGGGTTTTCAAAATGGCCTCCCGATGTTTTCCGGACCTATTTCCGGAAGACAGCGATTGAAAATGGCTTCCCCTATGGAGGATCTTCGCTTTACGATGAGGTATTTTGCCCACTGAAATGCATTAACCGGTTTTTAATGCATTCCAATGGGTTTTTTACTTTCACTTGACGACAATATCGCTTAACAGCAATTTTAACAGAACGGATTATTGTTGTCAAGCGGGGCACCACTGTAGTAGAAGCTGAGGGTGACTGAATCAAAGTATCTCACTTATTGCAACAGATGCATTAACTAGGATTTTTAAGGCTGCAATACTATGCCCAGTAATTTGTCAGGAATCTCCATTTAATTCAATAAAACTTACATTTGAGTCAACACATATGATTGCACTGTAAGATTCATGTCCTGAAATCGATGAAACTAAAGAAAAATTCAGCCTCGGCTGCATTATTTCCCTTGTCTTTTATTTCTGAGTCAATAACTATATCATAAATCTAAATTGACAGAAACATTTTATGAGCTGTCTTTGACCATGTATAACAATCCCCTTTATTTCTATTGAAGGTGATAGAATTTGGATAAGACCAGGATCAAGCTGTTTATTTATTATGGAAAGTAAGGTTTCATTTTACTTACAGGCTGAAGAAGGTATATCAAGGAACACTCCTGAATAACTATGACTGGAAAAGGTGTTATCTTAGTTGCATGAAAGAGAGTCTCCACAGATGCCATGGTTTGGTCAAAGCGACCTCCAAGTCCCCCCAAAGCCACAATCACGTCGATCTAAATCAAATACAAAACAAACAAAAATAATTAAGGCGTTTAATTTGAATTAAGAATTTCGAGTAAGATTCATAAATACATCTGAAAGAAAGAGCATCTTCTGTATTTTCCTTTCAATAAAACATACACACAACATATGTCTAGGCCAGATGTAGGCACCTTCCACATGTCAGAGAGCAGGGCACACCCACTCCTGGATTTTGCAGGGTTGTGCCTAGAACTGCTTACATGCCCAATCCACTTCCAAAATATTTTTCATTAAAAAGGCTTTTCTCCTGAAAAAGCCAGACATTGTCTAGTGACCACTGAAAACATCAACAACCTGGGGTGGGTGGGGGAGAGACATTGCAAAGCTGCCTCCCACACATCATTTATTGTTATGTGTCATCAAGTCAATTCCAACTCAATTCAAACCTCCCAGGGCTTTAAAGTAGTCAGAAGTAGTTGACCAATCCCCCCTTCTTGGTGGTATTCTGTGATTGGGCAGCTTGCCTATGGCGACAGAGGTGCAGGGCATATTTAGTTTACATGACCCAGCCGTGGGCATTTTTATTCATGTGTACACACTGGTCCCAAGCCTGGATAAATGGGGAGGGTTAAGGAAAGACCTGGCAACCTACCTTGTAAAAAATTCTGCCAAGAAAATTCCACGAAAGGCTCTCAAATGATTTCAATATGGTGCAAAACTGTGAGACCCTCAGGCTAGAAGGTACCCAAAGAGTGACTGGGGAAGAGCAAGGGCCTGTAGCAAGTAGCTCTGGATTCTATGATGCACAGGGGCAAATCCAGAAGGAACCTCGAGTGTTGATGCTACCAATAGAGAAAGCAAGGGTTTGCACTGTAGTGTGTGCTGCACAAAAATACAGCAAATAGTAACTTGGAATGTCAGAGGAATGAGCCAAGGTAAATTGGACATTGTAAAATGAGAAATGATCAGATTGAAAATTGACCTCTTCAGCATTAGTGAATTACACTGGACAAATAATAGTTATTTTTAGTCTGAAGAATTTACCATCTATTACTCAGGTCATGATAAGAGCCATAGGAATGGAGTCGCATTTATTGCAAGCAAGGAAATGGACCAAGCAGTGGAAGGCTTCTCCACAGTAAACAATCACATAATGACAATTAGAGTTTGTGCCAAGCCCATCAACTTTACTGTTGTTCAAGTTTCTGCTCCAACAACTGATGCAACATTGCAAGAAATCAAGAATTTCTATGCCACCACTGAAGATACATTGAAGACAATCCCAGGAAAGGATAGTATTTACTTACTTGATGATTTTAGTGCAAAAATTGGTTCCCAGATGGAGCCAGAAATCACTGGAAGTTTTGAGAAAGAAATGACGCCGGTGATCAGTTGGCACAATTTTGCCAGGAAAATCAGTTTTGAGTCATGAATACATGGTTTGAACCACATAAGCATCGCTTATACATGTGGACCTCACCTAACAGACAACATCACAATCAACTGATTATGTCCTATGTGATCAATGATGGGCCAGTTCAGTTCTTGCAATCAAAATTTATCTAGGTGCAGACTGTGAACTGATGGTAGCCAATATCAAAATCAAACTCTGCAACATGAAGAGGACAACACCATCCAAAAAGTTCGATGTCACAAAAAATTTCCTCACATATGCAACTGAACTTATAAATAGGTTTGAAGTTCTGGACATTTCTGAGAAAATGCCTGAAGAACTATGGCAATAAATTCAATTAATCATCATTAGCACAGCAGATGACTACGTACCATGCAAGAAGTTACAGAAAAAGTGTAGATGGCTCTCAGAGAATAATATCCAAATAGCTAAGAGGAAAAAGGCAGCTAAAGCAGTGGACAACTGTGAACAGGTGAGAAGACTGAATGCTGACTGCCAAAGGGCAGCAAGGAAAGATAGCGACGTTTACTGGGAGAAGCACTGCAAACATTCAGAAGAAGACTACAAAAGAACACACTAGGAATGCATATGCACAAATTTTAAAAACCCGAGTACCATTCATGGCTTGCAAAGGTATCATCAAGGATAAGCAAGTGAAAGAATTGTCCAACCAACAAAGTGCCAAGAACAGATGGTGGGAATATGCAGCAGAACTGTATGCCACCTGCAAAGAGGGGCAACAACAAATTGAGGCGGGGAAGGAAACAGAAGCAGACCCAGCTATACTTGATGATGAGGTCATGTGGGGAATGAACCAAATGCCAAATAACGAAGTCCAGGGGTCAACAGCATCCATGTAGAATTGTTGAGGTCAGTACCAATGGCAGTTATCACAATCTTGTGCCAGAAAATTTGGGAAACCAACATATGGCCACAAAACTGGAAACAAAAGGGGGATTCAAAGGTTTGTTCTAACTACTGTACAATTGCTCTCATCTCTCACACTTATAAGATCTTACTGAAAATTATACAAGAACACCTGACACCAGTCATTGAAAGGGAATTGCCAAATGTCCAAGCTGGCTTCTGTCAGGGTTGTGGCACCCATGATCATATTGCAAATGTTCAGTGGATAATGGAAAAATATTATGAATATGAAAAGAATATCTACATGTGCTCCAGGAATTATAGGAAAGCTTTAGACTGTATTTACCATGGCAAACTATGGAGAGTTCTAGAAGAACTTGGAGTACCACTACATTTGGTGAAGTTGGTGAAATCACTGTATGAAAATTATGGAGCCTCTGTACAAACTTGATATGGAGATACTGACTGAGGTTTAAGTCAAGAAAGGTGTGTGGCAAGGTTGCATCTTGTCACCCTTCTTATTCAACTTGTACCCTGAAATGATAATCAGAAAGCTGGAATTAGAAGAATGAAAAATTGGGGTAAAAATTGGTGAAAGAAACATCAATAACCTTCAATATACAGATGATACAAGCCTCCTATCAGAAACCCAGAAAAGTCTAAAGTACCTGATCATGAAACTCAAAGAAGAAAGTGAGAAAATTTTGAATATTTAAAAGACCAAACTCATGACAACTGCAAAGAATGGAAACAGCAAAATAGTAACTGGTGGAGAGGAGGTTGAATGTGTGGAAGAATCAATCTTTTTAGCTTCACTGGTCAATCAAACTGTAGCTCAGCAGCCAGTCATTCCATAAATAAAACATCAAATTATGCTAGGTCACACAGCAATGACAAGGATGAATCAAATATGGAAAAGTAAGAATGTCAGTTTGACAACCAAGTGAAGATTAGTTTGTGCCATTGTGTTCCCCATAACTACATATAGCTGTGAAAGTTGGATGACAAAGAAGATGGACAGAAGGAAAATTGATCCTTTTGAGTTATTGTGTTGGAGGAGGCTCTTGCACATTCCATGGACTGCAAGGTAACGAATAAAGAAGTGCAGAAGCACATAAAACTGGACATGTCATTTAAAGGCAAAATAAGAAAACTTAGACTTAGTTATTTCAGCCACATCATGTGATCAACTTCATTGGAGAAAGATGTTATATCAGAATGGTCAGTGGTTAAAGATGATGAGGACGCCAAAGAACACATTGGTTGGATGTAATCAAAGCAGAAACTGACCAAAATATAAAGCAACTGAAAGACGCTGTTCAAGATTGGAAATCGTGGAGGGAGCTGGCTCATGGAATCGCCAAGGGTTGGATATGACTGAATGGATAATTTGATTCAGGTATTCTGAGCTGGCCCAGCTTCCAAAAGAAAGAGATGGGATTCAAACTGTTAAACTGTAGCTCAGCAGCCAGTCATTCCAATTCATTGAGTGATACCAGACCCTAAAAGGTACAAGGGGACTTTCTGAACAACATGCAAAAAATATTTTAAAAACAGGTTTTAAAATATTTTAAAATGAGGTATGAGGAGGCTGTGGGCCATATTTTGACCTGGCAGGGGATGACCAATGGCTCACAAGCCACATTTAACCCTTGGTTAAGGGGATATGCAAAAGCTTCCAATAAAATCCAAGAGGATGTTTGCACAGGAGTAGAAGTAGCTTGCATTATGGAATGTTTTGCACTATATTCTATATATGTAATATCTTCTCTCTCTTTCTCATAAAGGAAGACAGAAAAAGCAATCAATAGCTTGTATTAAGTCACACCACCATGCCCAAGAAACAAATGTGAGTGTGGCAATGTTGACAGAAGAAGATTTAACTCGTCATGGCCAAAGTAACCCAGTATAAGGAACAGATTTAACTCCACCAGAATGGTCTCCAGGAACTTAACCATTCACCTGTAATGTAACCATTGCCACATAGAAGTATAGAGGTATTTATGGAATGGAAAGCAAAATCTACCCTTCCTTTCCTGACATCAGGTGGCTATTTAAATGTTTTTAACTTACAGGTTTAAAATGTTTTAATGCTTTTTTGCTTCTCTGTTTTAACATTGTTTTTATACTTGATTGCTTTAATCCTAATGTATGCCTAGTTGTTTTTTTAACTTTGATGTTTATATATTGTTTAAACATTTCATCTTTTATTTGTTATGAGCTGCCTTGGGTCCCCTATGGGGAGAAAGGATGTATATAAATAATTTAAATAATTCAGGATAGATAGATAGATAGATAGATAGATAGATAGATAGATAGACAGACAGA